TTACTGGGTAGATGAAGGTGTTACTGGGTAGATGAAGGTGCTACTGGGTAGATGAAGGTATTACTGGGTAGATGAAGGTATGACTGGGTAGATGAAGGTGTTACTGGGTAGATGAAGGTGCTACTGGGTAGATGAAGGTATCACTGGTAGATGACGGTACTGCTGGGTAGATGAAGGTATTAGTGGGTAGATGAAGGCATCGCTGGGTAGATGAAGGTACTACTGAGTAGATGACGGTATCACTGGGTAGATGACAGTATTACTGGGTAGATGAAGGTATTAGTGGGTAGATGAAGGTATTGCTGGGTAGCTGAAGTAATCCCAGTATTCCTAGGCTCCTCTTGAGGCCCTCATGAAGAGTTCCAGCTATTAGAGCTGCTAGACTTCTAGACGTCCACCTACTATGGAAAACCTCATTGTGGTCATTTGTTCAGGGTGGAAAAGAAAAGAGGGCCCCGGTTCTAAGAAAGCATTTGACAACAACTTCTGTCTTGTTGTCTATGGTTCGACGAGAAAAACTGTGCCCCTGTCAGCAAATGTCAGGTACAAGTGGACTAGTTCTTCTCATGGTGGTGGACTGGGTTTGTTGGCTTCACACACATTTATTTCAAAGATTCTATTTAAAAAGCTTTCATTTTGGTAGTCTTCTCAATGTTTTACCTGAATCGAGTAGCTTGTTCTCAAAGTTACTGAACTAGACGTAGATGTTGTGGACTTATTTTAAGAGGCAGAAGCGAGGGTACGGGGAAGCAAAGAATAACCTGGTTTACAAATGAGACCTATGGAATGTATTCCATTTCTATCCTGAAAATATTTAGATGCCCTTTCCTATGCCCTAAAGTGATTCCATCATCACAATGGTTTACTTAAACTGCCTTGCCATTTTTGAGGGTTCACAAAGTCGCGTGGGAACCAGTGCATCTGCCTTTCCTAGCTCTCCTCCCGTGTCAAATTGAGCGTGTCTAGTGTGTGTGCGCTTATAACAACACTAGTACATTGTGGGTGACACAAAAGCAATTTTCATTCATCCCCCATCGTCACCTGGCTATAAGATGAATTTCAAAACAAACAAGCAAGCAAGTCAACAAACTCACTGCATGGAGTCAATTCAGACTAAAGAGCAGACTGAATTCTTTACAGGAATAGAAAGTCTCACCTTTCTCTCAAGGAGTGGCTGGTGGTTTCAAACTGCTAACCTTGGGGTAAGTAGCCCAGTATTTAACCACTATACCTCCAAGACTCCAAATACACACACACACACACACACACACACACACACACTGTGTACATTTATTCCTGATCACTATCAACTTAACACAATTTCCTTTTACTTTCACAAGAGAATCTACAGATGTCACCTGCAACACACACACATAGTACTCAAGTGTTCTCCTGTACACACACGACATGCACACACACATATCCTGTAATGGACTATCAGAATCACAATGAGCATAGATTTTTTTTTTAAATCCTCTTATTCTCTAATTTTCAAATTACTGCAAGTGGCCCTGTGATAATGTAGCTCCTAGCTATTGCAATGAAGGCATCCATGGCAGCAATGAAGAAGAAACTGAAGTAAGGCATTGTTCCACTGTTGGATAAATGGTCGGTTGAAGTGATTTGGAGGAAAATTAGTCCTGAGTGTTGAGAAGCAAACTTTTGCTTAAATTGGTGCCTTTGACTAAATTAGTTTAATAATGCAAATAAATTTGTATCGTTACTTTTCCTTTCATTTCTATAGTTGGCTATGAATTCTTGATGCATATTAAAATAGTATTCACATAAAATTAAAAAACTCTAAAATCAATATGCAATTTTGTTAAAATAGTATGTGCCCTATTTTATAGTCCTCCGACTAATACCCATTGATTGTTTCCATCTGGTACAAGAGAAATTACATAGAAAATATGTATCTTATATAGAGGGTTTGAAACAAAAGTTTAAGGAGAAAATCACTCTAAGAAATGCAATAGCTATTGTCATTACTTCCCCAGTATTCCCTGGGAATCTCTCTTCCAAATAGGAATAACAACCTAGTAAATCGATATATGGAGAAACTGAATGTACATTCCTCACAGGCGTGGGAGGGGAGGTGATGGGAAGTGGGGAGCCAGCAACAGTGACTGTGTGAAAGAAAGTGTTCTGAAACTGATGGCTGCGCAACTGTACTGTGACTGAACTATTACATTGTGTGATAGGTGAAGCATATGCCAATACAATTATTTATAAAATAACGATGTAAAAAAGGACTCAAGGCAGCCTAAAAGTCCATTTTCCTAGCATTGCTACAGCTCCATCAAGTTATGCAGGTAAACATAATTGTGAGAAAACATTTGCGGATCAAAGATTGTATAACAAACTCATTGCGATTCAGTCAATGCTGACTCAGAGTGACCCTCTGTGAGTTTCCAAGCCTGTGGCTGTTACAGGAGTAGAAAGCTCAGTCTGTCTCCCACAGAGCTGCTGCTTGTTTTGAACTGGCGACCATGCGGATCACATCCCAATGTGTAACCACCACAACATGAGGACTTCAAAAGATTGTTTGGACCAAAGGAATATTGATTGTAACACGTAATAATTATGTGCACATTGATAAAATATCAGAAGATTTTTAAGCAAAGTGATAGGATACAGACTCTGTTAAAGGAGGTAAATAGGACCCCAATTGTTTTAATGTATAAGCAGATGCTTGAAAAGGTTTGAAAAAGTAGGATTAAAAAATAGTAGAAGTTTTCCACAAATGAATGTCCATGTTGAATTTAGTGGACTAGAGAATGGTGCAAAGTTGCAAGACTGCCTACCAACGATTTGTATTTACAACCTAATTTTTTCTTGGGGGATTTTCCAAGTCTCTCTCTATAATCCATACATAGTTACTCTGAAGAAGAAGCTAAGAAATATTTCTGCCTTTTTCTTAATTTGGACTTTTGAAGGTCCACTTAAGTTAGTTTAATATCTTATCTTACCTCTCTTGGGCTGTCAGAGACCACTAAACCACTGACTTCTGTTCCCGGGGGGCATTAGCTGTCTTCCTTAAGCCCCAAGAATCTTCACTGCACTTAAGTCTACTGGATGTAGCTCATTCGTAAGTATATTTGAGACATGTGTCTTTAAACATGAATTCTAAATAGAATCAGTGGTTTATCAATAAGTCAGTTATCATGAACATTTGCTTTATGTTAGGATAGTGATGACATCCAAGCTGAATGACATCCAAGTATGAATATGTGAAATAACTCCTACAACATGTCTCTCAGAAACCATAGCTTCAGTTTTGTATCTCTATCTTCGGTTTTGATTTGTTTTGTTTTTGGATATTTCGGTCAGCTTTAATCAGTCTTCTTTCACTTTGTCGTGAGGTGTCACCTTCTGGTGTGGTGAGGTCATTTTCTGTTGTCCCTGCTGCTTTTTAATGTTTCTCTGCCTTTTGAATTTTTTCTCTCTACATTTTGTTTAGAAACTATGTGTTTCGAAACTAGACCACCTTGTGAAAAGTGTATTACTAGAATTGCCCTCATATTTCTACAACAGATGATAAAGAAGTTCTCTTGCCATTAAAATATGAGTTAAGCTCATAGTTGGAATTTTTAACATGAAATTTAATTTTCAAGGAAAAATTAACTCTAGAAATGAAGCTAAAGGAAGTTACGTGTTTGGCACCAGGCTGGATGTTGTCCATTTTGTTGTTCCAAAGACATTTCAGTCGTCTCTCTAGTTTTCTATAGTTGTCTGAATAGGTAACAAATTTGATAGCTAAATTTCAAATAACTAAACAAAGGCCCGTTTGTTTTCATTGGTTAAGAAAAACTGAAATCAATGGGACCTGAAAGCAATTAAAAGCAATTAGTAAGCAGTGAGACCTGAAAGAGAGAATATTTGGGCCGTTTTTATTTGTGTCTCTTAATAGAGAATAATGCTGTTTCCCGAGGCTCATAAAAATGGATGGCAATGAGACAACATACATTTTCTGAACATTAATTGGTGGAGCTAATTAAAATCTATAAAATCTATGAATGATGGGCAACTAGAAACTAAGATTAAGATAACTTAAAATTAGTGTAAATTAGATGTTGCTACAATTTTTAATCATTTCTGGAGAGTGTATTTAAATTCGGGTCTATAGAACATTTTGCTTTTGGTTTTTTCCTGGGTTTTTTTTGAATCCCTGTACGGGGGCTCCTGCAGCTCTTACAGCATTCTATACAACAACTGAATCAAGCAGTTGTACTTGTGTTGTCATCATTTTCTGAACATTTACTTGCATTTGAGCCATTAGTATCAGCTTCTCTTTTCCCCCCTCCCCCCTCCCGCCCATGACCCCTTGATAAATTATAAATCAGAGCCAAACTGACACCCCTCCCCCAGAAGTATGTGCTACAGAGGACAACTCTATAGAACTGTTTGTACAAATAAAATGTTTGTCTCGATTCTACATCAGATTCCAAATTTCAACGATATCTTTACATGTATCGCCTCCTAATATGGCTTGATTTTCTTACTTTAAGTTTCTATTTTCAATATTTTGTGCAGCAATGATTCTTACACTTCACTGAGTTCAAGAATCCCCTTGGGAGTTTATTATATAGATAGATGATGGATTTATGGAACTGTCATATTCTGAGTAGTAGCCCAGAGCTACACTGCAAGCAGATATCCCAGTGATTCTGACTCAGGCGGGCTGGGGCCTTCGCCTGAGGACTTGGGAGTCATTGTTAAGTAGAAAGAGCACATGACAGTCAATTTGGGGAAAACAATATCTCTTTTTAATCCTTTGACTTCTGCTTCACTGTCAAATCTGTAATAACTACTTTAAAGCACCCAGAGGCATCACATGTTTTATCCAGAGGAATTCTAAGTATTAAAATAATATTTGAAATAAAGCAAAATTAGAAGGGGTGGAGTAAACATATTAGCTTATATGGGAAGGTAGTAATTAATGTGTTGCCTGTTTTTCTACTTTGTGTAAATGTACTATTTTGCAATAAATCAAATCACAGGTGTCATCTCCTCCCCACCCCCTTTTTTTCCTACTTAACTTTAGAGCAGCCCTCTAAACCTGAAATTGTAAGCAAAGCACCATTTCTGGAAACAGAACAGCTAAAACAGGTAAGAGCTTCTCTTCTTTTTCATTAAATTCATTTACTAAGTCTGGTGTTCAGTGCCCTCCTTTGCCCAAGGATGCCATGACAAATGAGATAGATTCTAGTCTTAAGAAACTGACAGTGTTGTCATTATGAACAGAAAATATGCAGGTGGTAGAGTGTGAAAACCAGTAAGGTTTGCAAAAAGAGACATGGGTCAAGAAAAATATGTCTTTCATGTTTAAGTGAACTAGATGTTTAATGGAATAGTGGAAAATACATAGCTTTTCTCCATGTTAAAGGCAGACAAGGGATTGCCAACATCATGGGAATATATTCCCAATAGCATGGAAAAAACGTAAGTTTAGAAAGCATCTTCATTTGAATTGTTGACATGTTAGGGGATAACACAGTGGGCAGGGACAAGAGAATCCAGTAGGAAATCAATGTAAGCAAATATAAAGAGACCAGATCATGATGTCTCGTATGTTGTGTAGAGAGCTGGGATTTTATTCTATGGACAAATTAAACAGTTGAAAGATTGAAGAAAAGGGTAAAGAGATCATATTTCAAAGGTCACATTAGTGAAGGAATTAAGAGAGGTTTAGTGAAGGTGGGTGGGGCTGGAACTATTCATGTGAGCCTGTTAATTAACTGATAACTTGCTTTTCACTTATTTAAATACCTAAGTTTTCCTTTGTGATGGAAACATTACATTTCACAGCATAGAATTACTCGATCAATACTGAATAATGATAGAACACCTTTAAAAAAAAAGCGGTAGGGATTATACATCATGGTATATATACTAAGGGGGGGGTACACCACCGTCCCCATCCCAGCCCCACCAAGAAAGCGAACAAGAGCTCTGCTGAGTGGAGCGTTCTTAGTACACATCTTTCCCACCAGGCGAGCATCCAGCAGCTCACTCTGAGTGAGTGCACCCGGTGGTCGGTGGCCTCGCCTGGGAAAGCTCTCTCTGGTCACAGTGAATTTTTTCACAAAAGCAGTTTCTCTCATAAGAGAAGAGCACGCAGCGGTGAAATTTTGTTCGTGCTTCAGAGAAAGGCCACAGAAACTGTTGTGAAGGTGAACACAGCTTATAAGGGTAGCACTATGGGAAAAACGCCAGTGGGTGAGTGGTTTTTCAAAAAAGGTGAAATGTCGACTGATGACAAACCCAGGGTCTAGGGAACAACCAGAGATCTAAAATTGATGGCGAGGAGGGTGTAGATTGCCTGGTGGTGTTTCATTAAGTGCAATGTAGCCTGGAGGAATTACTGAGAACTGAATGGAGGGTGAACATGATAGTGGGACAGGAGGAAGGTGAAAGGAAATAGAGGAAAGAACTAGGAGGCAAAAGCTATTTATAGAGGTATAGCTATAGGCATCTATCTATGTAAATATATTAATTTATCATGAAAAGTATAGACGCCAATGTGCATATATTTATATGTTAAGCATTAAGATAGCATATGGACTTTGGGCCTCTACTCAAAGCTTCCCTAAACACAAGAACACTTTGTCCTAATAACCCGGCACGCTTTGATATTCACCTTCCCCACACAAACACTGAAGATAAAATGAGTGTGTAAGTAAATGTGGAGAAGAAAGCAAATAGTTCCCGGCTATCAAAATATATAGCATCTGGCGTCTTAAAGGTTTGAAGGTAAACAATTGGCCATCTAGCAGGGAAGCAACAAAGCCCACATGGAAGAAGCACATCAGCCTGTGTGATCATGAGCTGTCGACAGGATCAGGTATTAAAAGATCCAAAACAAACATATATATCGATGCAAACGAGGTGGTTCAGAATGGAAACCCAAAGCCCATCTGTAGCTAATTGGACACCCCCTCACAGAAGGGTCCCAGGAAGGGACCAGTCAGCCAGGTTGCAGTATAGCACCAACAAAACACATAAAGTATGTAGTTCCTGTATACTTCTTCCACCCCACTATCATGACCCAGTTCTACCTACAAATCTGGCTAGAACAGAGTGCATACATTGGTACAGATAAGAGCTCTGGACACATGAAATCCAGGACAGATAAACCCTTCGCAAAGAGTAGTGGGAGTAGCAATACCGTGAGCGTAGGGGGAGAGTGTGTGTTGGGGGGGTAGGGGTGGTAGAAACGGGGAGAAAGGGGGAACCGATTACAAGGTTGGATATATACCACCATGCAGGGGGACGAATAACAGAAAGGTGGGTGAAGGGAGACAACAGAGAGTGTAAGATATGAAATAACAATAATAATATAAAATTAATCAAGGATTCACGAGGGTGGGAGGGTGGATGAGGGATGGGAATAAAGAAGAGTTGATACCAAGGGCTCAAGTAGAAAAAAAATGTTTTGGAAATGATGATGGCAACCTATGTACAAGTGTGCTTAATACAATTGAATGATGGATTATTATAAGATTTGTAAGAGCCACCCAATAAAATGATTAATAAATAATGATAATAATTTTAAAAGATTGCCCCAAATGAAATTCCCCAATAGTAGGCCACATACCCTTCTGAGCTGACTTGAATTTAACTGGACTAGCCTATCCATTTGGAAGTTGATGTTCTGGTTGGACCCTTTTTCTTTTTCTTTTTCCCCCAACAGTTTTACTGGCACATAGTTTACATAACATAGAATTGAATAGTTCAACCATGTACACATATCAATGGGGAAGTGAACAATCACCACCACATCCATCCTAGAGCATTCCCTTCCCTTAGACCAGTTTTCAGGGCACCCTGAGAGACTTGTTTTAGTTGTCTAACTGAGAGAACTTGTCTATTGGAAGTTATCCACTGAAATAAATTTGGATAAAACCTGGGCATGTATGAACGCCAACCTTAGTAGCAATACTTTTTGACTTGCCCTCCTCCTATGAAACTAGAAAGGCACCTCAATTTTAAACTGTCAGTCTTCTTTCCCACATAGATCTATGATCTCTGGAAATAGTCAATATTAGTGCAGTTGTGTTGTTTAGGTAATGTTGAAAATGAATAATGTTTAAAATGAATTGGCTTACACGTTAAAATGAATGTGATTTTACTAATAGTTAGATGATCTATAGCGCATTTAAAAATGGACAGGCCTATTTTAACTACAGAACCTTATGTTTGTATAAGGGAGCATTCATTGAGTCCTTCGTTCATTCTATGAAAACTAAAGTGTCAAGAAAACTTTGTGATGATTCGGTAGCCTCTGGAAACCGTGGCTCTCAAATCGACAAATATTACTTGAAACAAGGTGGTCATATTTCCTCCTTATTTTGCAGTTGGGCAATTGCATTTCAGAAGACAGTTATCCATTTGGCAACATCACCTGGTACCGGAATGGACAAGTGCTACAAAACACGGATGGAGGTAGGTATGAGGTGGGCGATCCATTCAGCTCCCCTGTGTTGACTTTCTCTTGGCTAAGTGTCCCTCAGAGTCTCTCAGTCCAAAATGTGTTGTCCTTCCTTGATCTATTACCCTATACTATGTTAGTTTATCTTTAGGTTGTTAGGTAATTTCTATTTTAGCCCCTGTGCAGAGGATAAAGAGGGAATTATTTCTGTGTACAGCATGTTCTTGAAATTAATGAAAGTGAGTGAGCGATAGGATTCCAGGATTCTATGACTGTCCATGTCTCTGACTCTTGCTCTTTAAACGGCCTTGTGACATTGGATGAAGGCTTGGGGGTCTTTGATGAGAGCTCCTATCTTAGTGCTCCTCGTTTTCTCAACAGTGAACATAACTTTCAATAAGCAAATGGACCCAGTCACCCAGCTCTATACCATGGCATCGTCTCTGGAGTACACGGCAACCAAGGCTGATATACAAACGCCCTTCGCCTGTTCTGTCACCTATGAGGGGCCGTCTGGCCAGGACACCGTCTATTCTGAACAAGAAGTCTTTGATATTTATTGTAAGTTTCCCAGTGAACATATGAATTCCATATGCAATGATGGTGTATTAGAAAGGCTATTCAAATTCTATTTCTTTTGTGTTCCAACTCATGTTCGTGTGTGTGTGTGTGTGTGTGTGTGTGTAATCTAACTCCTCACCCCAACCTCAAGGCACCAAAAGAATCCCTTCTGTGGAAAACATGTAGCACAAAAGTTTACCATCCATTTGGGGGGATATTTAACTCTCTACTTTGCTATCTGATCATTCATCTCTTCTGAATTCTATGCTCTAAGTTCCTGAAAGGCAAGGTTTCTGTCTTGCTCAAATCCTTCCAGTAGTCTTCTGCTGTGAAATGAAAATGCTTTCTATTCTTTTCCTGAATGAGTGATCTTGACTGGCTGGCCTTCTAGGTAACAGTCTTTAATAGAAATATTTTAATAATTAAATGAGTTGCATGACTTAACTATGAAGTCATCTTTCAATATGACTTTAACTTTAGTCACCGTTTCTCATAGCTTTGAAACAGCATAGTAGACAAAGGAACCTTCATGGTCAAGTGCTCTCTTTTCTCTAATTGAAGGTAGGATTATGTATGTTCAGAACGATGCAAGTGACAAGAGACCACATAGGTGTTAGTGAAAAACGTGAAGTTGGAGAGAACGCTAAGCTGGGTTCCAAATACTTTTTGAAATTGATTCAAGAGGGAACAGGAATATATGTAAGTGTCAATCCTATATATGTGAGTACCAGCCATGGAGAGCTGAGTTGGGCATAGAAACATCTGGATGAATACAGGGAATGATTTTACCTCAGCTGCTCCTGTGGGAGACACGGGGTATAGTTTCGAGAAGGCCCAGGGAGGTAATACAAGGCTTTACAGTGACGACAGGCTCACAATTGCTCAAGGCGTTTGCTCCTCCTGATGGAGAAACAGGGTGCTGTGGGACAGCAGTTCCCAGGCGAGCGCAAATCAGAATCACTAGAAAGAGTTGTTGAAATACAGACTTTTTGGACCTGGCCCCAGACTTTCTGATTCAGCACGAATGGAAAAGGGCCCTTTAAACCTAGTCCCTGGTGGTGCTGATGTTCTGAATTGAAGACCACACTTGTAAAATCACCAGACTAGATAAAACAGTCCAGGGAAGAAGGGAGCTACCTGGAGTGGGTGTCTTCTCCATAATAGAAATGTGATGTATTCGTCTTGAGGAAGTCTGCGAAAATATTGGTCCACTCCTTCTTTAACCTACCCAATCAGCAATAAATTCCTAGATGCTAGCTGTTTAGTATTTGCTTTATCTGATTGATGCCATCTGATATTGCCTACATTTATGCCAACCTTCCTCATTGCCTGCTTTTCTGCAGTGATTCCCTAAATGATAGTACTCTTATCTGTTCACCTGTCTCTGAGTAGAGACTCTGTAAAACAATCTCCTGGGTTTATGGCAGAAGTATATTTCTACAACCGAAACCTCCTCAAGGTACCGCTCTGCTTCGCATTCTGCAATGATGCCAGAGCTTTCCAGCTCATCTGCTCACTCCCAAGTCTAATAGCCATGAGTCCCTTTGAGGTCTCCTTCTGCACGGGATCTCGAACTCTGTCACTTGTCCATGTGCCAATCTCCAAATTCCTCTCGTAGAACACGGCCTACAAGCCTTTCTCAATACTGTTGCTCTCAACCTTTTGTCATCTCACTAGGACCTGCCTATCTTTCCGAACCCAGCCCAAGGTAACTCCTTGGCTCTCTGGACTAACAGTGACCCCTGATTTACATTATAGCAGTTATCTTGATAGGATCTTAATTGCTACATTTGGTATATGATAATTATAAATAGATCTGAGAGCAGAAAATATGCTGTTTAAATTTGTAACCCAATAATTGAGAGCCTGCAAAAAGTAGGTGCTCAATAAGTATTGGCAATGCAAATAAATGAATGGCTATATGAAATGGGATAAATGAGAAGAAAACAATTGAATAGAATCTTGGTTATCATTGTCAGAGTTTATAAAAAGTAATTTTATTAGACTAAGGAGCTAGATTCAAGTCAAATTGTGGTTACCAGATTAATTTTTTTTATTTTAATCTTTAGATATTGTATATGTGTAAACGATTTGGAATACTAATGTAATATTCGAGGCATTGTTTCAGAATTGATTCCACAGAAATATGTATGAAAGAGGAATAAGAGAAAGGTTTAAGGCAAGCTGACAACTAGAACTCATGGCAGTGGTTCAGGATAGGTTAATTCCAGCCTGGACTCGGGAGATGTTGGTGGGAACCCGAGGAGAGAATCCGAGGTGTGACACTATTAGGTACAAATCACAAAGGGCTGGTGACTGAGTGAACAAGAAAGGGCAAAGGAGAAAGCAGAGGTGACAGGCAGAATGGTGATTTACTAATAGGCCACGTTCAATTTAATGTCTGGGGCAGAGGGAGACTGAAAAACCATTCATTTTGGTTTAGGCACGTTAAGAAATATTGAAAAAGTTACCGTTCAGACCCAAATGTGTTTCATTAACTGTCTGAGCACATTTCCGTTCTTCAGGGCTCTATCAAAATCAGGGGCTATGAAACCACGAAGGCAGACTTTGAAACAGAAGAGAAGTCAGCAGCCCATGATCACTGGCAGTTCTGGTTTCAGATACGCACAGCAATGATCGGTCGATCTAATGAGAGAACAGCCGTGTCACAGGGGGAGGAGAACCAGAAATAGGCAGTCCATGTTGAATGGAAACAAACATTATTTACTTCTGACCTTTCTGGGGTCTGTAGGCTAAGATGGTACATCAGGAAATTCCAGAAAATTAAACAAGAAGTATAGTAAAACAGTCATTTTTTTTCTTAACTGGAGAACATTCCGGAGAAATATTCGGAGATGTGCACGTATACAAGAACAGTCAGAGACAATTGATAAGAATGCCGCAAATGGTTTCTGCACTTTAATCTTAGAAAGATACGGAAATATTTACTAAAAGAAAAACAAAAACAGAAAAGGCCCTCTAATTCTACCGCATATGTACCTCATTTTATTAGAACAGTGGTTCTCAACCTGTGGGTCGAGACCCCTTTGGGGGTCGAATGACCCTTGCACAGGGGTCTGCCGATTCATAACAGTAGCAAAATGACAGTTATGAAGTAGCAACAAAAATAATGTTATGGTTGGGGGTCACCACCACATGAGGAGCTGTATTAGAAGAGTGGCAGCATTAGGAAGGTTGAGAACAACTGCTCTAGAATATGACAAAATAAATCTTTATAGGGAGGTTTTTGCTGGTACCAGTTTGGAAATATAGGCACATGCTGTTTTGTTTTGTTTTGTTTATATCAGAAGACTATTGTTTTTGGTTGTTGTTGTATTATTTCTTTCATTGGGGGGGGCTCTTACAAATCTTATAATAATCCATTAGTCAATTGTATCAAGCACACGTCTACGTATGTTGTCATCAACATTTCCAAAACATTTTCTTTCTACTTGAGCCCTTGGTATCAGCTCCTCTTTTTTCCCCACCCTCCCACCCTTTTGAATCCTTGATCAGTTATATATTAGTATTGTTATTTCATGTCTTACACTATCTATTGTCTCCCACATTTCTGTTATTCATCCCCTGTTTGGGGGAGCTATATATCCAACCTTACGATGGGGTCCTCCTTTCTCCCCTTCACCCCCACCACCCCTCTACCCTCATGATATAGCTGCTCCCACTATTCCTAAGGGTTTTATCTGTCCTGAATTCCATGTGTCAAGAGCACTTGTCTGTACCAATAGGTGTACTCCAGTCTAGCCAGATTTATGAGGTAGAACTGGGTCATGATAGTACCGGAGAAGAAGCATTCAGGAACTAGAGGAATAATGTATGTTTCATCGGGGCTATACTGCACCCTAGCTGGATCATCCCTTCCTTGTGACCCTTCTGTGGGTGCATGTCCAGTTGTCTACAGATGGGCTTCAGGTCTCCACTCCAACCCACCTCGTTTGAATCAATATGATTGTTTTGGATCTTTTGGTATCTGATACCTGATCCCATCGACACCTCATGATCACAGAGGCTGATGTGCTTCTTCCATGTGGGGTTTGTTGCTTCCCTGCTAGGTGACTGCTTGTTTATCTTCAAGCCTTTAAGACCCCAGATGCTATATATGTTGATAGCCAGGCACCATCTGCTTTCTTCACCACATTTACTTGTGCACCCATTTTGTCTTCTGTGATCATGTCAGGAAAGTGAGTATCAAAGACTACCAGGTTATTGGAACAAGGTGTTCTTGTGTTTAGGGAAGCCTTGAGTGGAGGCCCAAAGTCCATCTGCTATCTTAATACTTAGCATATACATGTATGTATATTGGCTTCTATATGTTTCATTATAAATTAATATATTTATATATGTCCAAGCCTATAGCTATACCTCTATAAATAGCTTTTGCCTCCTAGTTCTTTCTTCCATTTCCTTTCATCTTCCCACTATCATGCTCACCCTCAATTTGGCTCTCAGTAATTCTTCTCACTATATTGCACTTGATCAACTACCATCAGGCATTATAGGCCCTCCTCGCCATCAATTCAGATCTCTTGTGCCCTTATCCCCAAGTTTGTTGGCTCCCCTCTCCCCCTCCTCATCCTCCCCTCCTTTCCTATGTCCCCTGGGACTGCCAGTCCTGTTGTTTTCTCCTCAGGATTGTTTGTCCTGCCTATCTTGCATAGATCGACATAGGGTGAAAGGTTAACAAAAAAAGATGGATAGATAGTTGAGGTCTGTCAGCTTACCCTTATGAGTGTTTTCCAATCGAGTCTGATGAGGTAGGCACATGCTTATAATTAAATCTTATTGTGAAGTGGGGGTGGGGGTGGGTGGGAGGTCTCTACTATTAAAATTTGCACGGAATGATTTCAGAATACATTGTGAATACTTGTCGATACGTTAGAAATTGGATCATTTTTACCTGCCAACCACACCACCTCGTCTATTTCCTGTTTGCTAGATGGGGGGGTCCCTTCGCCCTTTAACTTCTGTAGCATTCTACTGCTGAGCAGCAGCCTGTGTGAATGAAGGCTCCCTAGCAGGGGCTAACGTAGGAGGAGAGCTGCGTCTTGTCTCCAGTGCACAGGATAGATTCACAACGCTTTGACCACGTGGTTGATAGTGCGCAGGCGCTCCCGCGCTTAGTAGGATCCGTCTTTTGTTTGCTTGCTTGCTTGCTTGCTTGCTTGCTTTTTTAAAGTAGGTCTTATCTTTTGTATGTCTAAAATCTTGCTGTGTTGTTTAGCTCAGATCTATTTCCACTTAATATGAGGTGTTATTATGCAGTGTGAGTGCCGGGGTACCCAGTTGCCTTAACTAGTTTGCTAGCAGATTCGGTCTTTTCAAACTGTTAAGATTCATATACTATAGTTAATGAAATCATGCAGTGAATTTTTTCTAGCTGGTCTTTTATACCTAAAATAATGATGACTATTCCTACCTCAGTTAAAGGTACTATGTTAAAAGCAAATTGGTTTTTAATATTTTTTATATAAGTGTCTCTTAGTTTTGCCAAACCAAGATTAGTACTTGGAACGATAAGTAGGTATTAACTTTAATCTATCTATAAAAAGATACATTTAATTACCATTGTGAGCTTCTTGAGGAAAATGTGTATAATTTAGCCATTTACCTTGTAGGTACAGAGTAATTTGACATTCGACCAAAATGTCTAACGTTTGTCTGTGACTCTTTCAGATCCCACAGAGCAGGTGACAATACAAGTGCTGCCACAAAAACATGCCATCAAAGAAGGGGACAACATCACTCTTAAATGCTTGGGAAATGGTAACCCACCTCCCGAGGAGTTTCTATTTTACTTACCAGTAAGTGCTTGAGTATAATGCTTGAGGTAAACTGCTCTGCTTTTTGTGCTCCTGTCTGATATCTGCCTGACACTAGGAAGTTCTGTACGTGTGTAGCTTAAATGAGACATATGTTATTTCTGGGAATAAGGACGCCTGTAGAATGATTTTGAAGGTTTTTGGTGTCTGCCGGGACTATAGCCTCCCCCCCCCCCCCCAATGTTAAAAGGTGTCAGGGACAAGCACAGAATGGTCTGATGTGGACTCTAAATCTAGCCACTGTCATGCTGACTACGTCTCTCATCCTTTCAGGCAGGGACAGTTCTGTTGGACATTATTTGTAATTTGATAGAACAGAACTGGGGGCCGTTTCTCGTCAGAGTTTGTAATCTTGAAAGGCCAGTTCCTCAATGTTTACCTGTACTGTAGGAGAGAGA